TGTTTGTATGCTATCTGCATCACACTACCCCTGCTGACATGAATACGTATACATCTAGCTGGATCCTTCCCTTTCCACTGTAATACTGCTGTATAGAAGACTGCATTCTGAGTTTCACTTCATTATCTGACATACAAGCCTTCTATAGCTCTGAGGATTAAACCCATACTTTTTTTGTTTGCTTAGTCCTGAATTTTGTGAGGTTTAGAAACAATCTTATTAAATCAATTGCCAACCATTAAAATATAAAATAATGAAGAGGCAGTTGTATGGATCACAATTTGTGTATGGAACACATCTGAAAAGCCTCACATTCAGTTTGTGGGTTGTGACCTCCTTGCTCCTTTTAAACAAGGATGCTGTATCTCACTCCTTGCTAGTGACATTTTTGAGCTACCTAGAAAGAAAATAATATTGTGTTGCTTTTATTTTTTATTTTTTTTAATATGGCAGGAGGGCACTTCAAGCAAACTTTATATAGGATGGGTGGATCTCGTGTTTAAGCGCCTGACACCGATAAACATGCCATAAAGCTACGATCAAATTGCATGGCATGCTTTTGAACCGTGTTGCTATGGACATAATAGGCTCTGCATTTATTAAGGTTATGACCGCTTTAAAAAAGACAGCACATCAAGGTTTTCTGATAGGTGTTTGATATTCCACACAAGCAAATTCATCTGCATAGTTCCTGCAGCATTGCAAGTGTGACACATCTACATTGTATCAAGTGTAGCAGCACTTTAATAACCTGGCTGCTGTTATGCAATCACTGTTTATGCATTCGTGAGCTTCATTCTAAATTGCCCTTCTATTTTGAGACTAGTCTAGGATGTGCGTGGCAAAGATTTTTTTTTTTTTTCCCCCCACTGACTTGATATTAAAAAGACATGAACATAAACTTTAGGATATATAACATTTTTTTCCTGTTTTGTGCTCTGCTCATCATCATTAGATTTTTCAAACTTTAATATTTCTACTTATTTATATAGAAGTGATATGTACTTTTGTGACATGTGGCCCATAAGGAACCAATCAGGTTCAATTTCATGTCATTTTTCAAGAGCATGCTTCAAAAATATAAGAAGGAACCTGTTTGGTAGCTTCCATTTTTTCCTCTTTGCCACTCTAACAGATGAAAATTTAAACAGTAGCATTTGGTAGCTCTTTCCTGCTGTGTAAATATGTTATCTTCATGTGGACATGTGTGAATCCATTGATCTTGAATTTGAGTGATATAAAGTATGATTTTTTTTTTTTTTGTCATCAGTTTTCCCATATCACTATACTTTATAATGGTTCTTTAGTGCTTGTAGAGGTAGATGTGGTTAAGAACCATGCAGTATCCTGTACCATTTATCATCCATTGTTATGTGTGATCTTTAAAGCAGGCATACAATTGGCCTGTGGTTCAGAACACAGCAAACAGCATAGAATCACATCTGGTGTGGTTGAGCCATAGCTAGTAAACTTGTACAACACACATTATTCTGTCTGAACCTATTGAAATGTTTAATTCTCTATATCACAAGTTTTAAATGTTAGCAAAGTTATTGTGTGATAACCAGCCAGCATCAGCGAAATTCTTTGGAATGCCCAACATTTTAATAACCCAATAAAATCTTTTGTGCTGCCTGCTATTGGAAAACTTAAATAGGATAACACCTTTTTGGAATCTCCAAAATGGCTTGATGTTATGCACATGTTATTATGCTTGCTGCAGCATTTGTTGGGTAGAAGTACACTAGTTGCCTCTGTTAATTTGTGTTTTGAAGGTGCAAATTTGGAGGCTTGGAATCCTTATCCTTCTATTACTGCCTAGTAAGCCACTGATCTGGAACAAGAAAGAGCAAGTTAGATGTGCACCTGCTTGTTCAAGATCGGTGACCATCATCACACCATACACACCCAAAAAGAACTTCCAATATTCTCCATTCTGACAGGTTAATTTTAAAGGGATATCTTGGTGGCTTTGTGATATGTTTTCAGTCCAAAAGGAAAATGGAAAAAGGAAATGTGTTTTGAAAACATTTGGAACATTTGGAATTACATGTGTCCTGAAAAATGCTTGTTGCCTGGCTGTCATGTTTATTCAGTACTCTTTGAATTACTACAAATATGCAGGTCAGGTGTTTCTTTTAGTACAGGTTTACTTTAAATTCCCCCCCCCCCCTTCCCAATTTACATGAAAATGATGCAAAGAATGTTCTTAATATCCTTCATGTGACTGTTAACTCAAAATTTTATTGTTTACACCCCCCCCCCCCCTTGCTCATCCAGTAGTGAAATCAATATCTTTATTGCAGAGGAAGGGGTAATTGTTTTGTTAAAATAGATTTTTCTTTACTTTTACTTTTCAAGAAGCCCAGACATGTTATTTTAAGGTAGCCTTTCATTAATATACCAGTTTCCTTGTGGACTTTCATGGACCAGTAGCTCTACCTGTAATTTCAATTTGGCATTTTTCCTGATTATTAATAATAGATCCTGGAAATTGAAGGATATAGTTTATATAGTTTATAATTGTTGATGTAATGATGCCTCAAACAAATGTCACAAATTACTGCTTCAAGGTATCTTAATAATGCAAGTCAAAAGTTTTATATTGAACATCATAAATAATCAATACAGCTGAACAAGATCCATGAATGGGTAATATAACCTAAACCCTCTAAATCCATTCCCAGCAGTTCCCTCACAGCGAACAAAACATACAGTATGCAACAAAAAATACATTCTATCAAAAAAATATAAAACTGAGCACTTATGTTACATAAGTATGTTACAGTTGAACAGTACCTAGATATATCAATATTTCCTTTTTTCAGGGTTTTTTCCCGTTTTTTTATCTGGTGATCCTGCCAGTAATATACTTCCTGTTCTAAGTTGTCAGTGCTCACTCTGTGCACTGCATCTATTGAGGAGCAGTGTCATACCCTATGCTGTGCTTCTGATGTGGACTACAAAAAACTTTCCCCTCTCTTTGTCTCTGTTACACAGAAGGACATTACTTGCTAGTTCACAGAAGATAGCTGAGAAAGGTGATAACATTGTTTTGATATTTTAGTTCAGGGCTGAGGAAGTTACAAAGATACAACATTTATGACAGAATCAACTGGTATTTTTCTTTTCTTTGTAAAATTGTGCTTGCAGCCTGCAATATAGTAAAGTCACTTCTGACAAGTTTTCTTGCCACCAAGGGAAAAAAACAGGTGAAGGGATTGAGCTCCAGCACACAGCCTGTGATTGACATCCTTCGCTTTGTTCATGTGTACTTTGTGAAGAGGGGTGTGTCCAGGGAGGGAACACCCCCCTTAAAGCACACATGAACAGCTCTCAGCTCTCTTCACTGAGCTCTGCAGTGTGTAATTCCAGCTCCCCTGCCTTGCTTTCTGAAAATTGAATTGTACAAATTTTGAACAGCTATAGAGAAGAGTAGACTGCAGATAAACAGGTACAACAAATGCAGGAGGATTTGTTTCATCTCTGTGTATCACCAGAGACCAGTCACTTCACTGGGTGTGTGTAAATGTTTGCAATCAGTGTTACGCTACATGCAAGCTTTCGAGACTTACATCCCATCTTCAGGCATTATGCAATTGATCTAATTGTACAGTATAATTCCTAAAGAAGGCACTCAAGTCCTGAAAGCTTGCATCTTATAATAATATTTTGTAATAAACATTCTATTATGAATATTGTTGCTTGGACCACACAGGTGATGACAAATCATCTTAGATGTTATCCTCTGCTGAAAGTATATTTTTTTAAAAACCATTATTTCACGAGGAAGATGTCATGCTCTGTTGTTATGACTAAGATTTGCACAGCCTAAGAAAGTGGCTGAGTATGATGCAGGTGATGCTGCATATCTATTGCTTTTATGTAAGTTTGATGGACAGTTGTTTGTCAGTAATAAATGGAAATCCGGGAAGCTGGAAATAAAATTGGCAGGGATCTACATAGAATCATGTGATTGGAGGGTGGTTGGATCTTATTATTTTATGATGATTGAGGTTTGAATGTTTTTGCTGCCTGAGGACGACTAAATTTGTCTGGGAAGATATTAGAAGAAAATGAAGTGCTAATCATGTGGTTTTCCTGCAATGAGTATTTCTTTGTTTCCTACTTTAGGTCCATTGTGTCTGGCTTGGACTCTCCAGCCAAGACGAGCTCCATGGAGAAGAAGTTAATTATCAAGAGCAAAGAACTACAGGACACACAGGACAAATGCCACAAGGTATTTAAACCAGCGCTTGGCCTTCCTGTTTGCTGCAGAAATTTCCTTCCAGTTCGTTCCTGGGGATCAAGAAATTGTTTTAAACTTTTGGGGCGTAGAGCACTTTTCCAGCATCACTGCCAACATACAGATGCCCTCAGCTTGAAATCCCTCTTTATTCTTTAAAGTCAAGCGACTTCTCTGGATCTCCCACCTTAAATCGTTTTTAGGAAGCCTCTTGTTTGAGTAAGGAGGACAACTTTCTGCATCGGTGGAAACGATAATCTGATTTCTATGAGGTCTTTCAGTTTTTTCAAATAAAAATAGACTTTAAGGCCTTGTGCATATAAATCCTTAAACTTTTACTCATTGTACATAACTTATGATCTTGGGCAAAGAAACTGGCTGGAATCTGATTACCCCCACATATTGGAGACTTTATGAAGGACTCATATGGTTTATTCTTGATTTATGTGATGATGAGGCAAACCGTCTTCTCATCAGAGCTGGATTTGGGATAATACTGAAGGGACACAAGCAGGTGAAAATGACTATCTTATTGAAAACCTGTGTGCTGTGGGGATTTTCTTCGGACTGTGTGTATATGTGAACAGCAATCCTGTGGATGACTTTGTGAGCCCACCATTAGAAGAAGTGAGCTCGTTGTGACCAGTTCTGTGCACTAGTTGTGGAAATATGTTGTTCTAAGAATTTAGGCACCGGTTTTGGCTCCCAGTGAGCTGGTTAAATCCTTTTTTTTTTCATTTTGTGTATGTTACAGATGGAGCAAGAAATGACTCGACTACATCGTCGGGTGTCTGAAGTGGAGGCTGTTCTCAGCCAGAAAGAAGTTGAATTAAAAGCATCTGAAACTCAGAGATCTCTCCTGGAACAAGACCTGGCAACCTACATCACAGAATGCAGCGTGAGCATCAGAACATATCCATTATTGGATATAATGCCCACACACTCCATAGTTTGCTTAGAGTAGGTCTCAAGGCGGATTAGAGTCATTAAGGCTTTATATAATACCAGTGTGAAAGTATCCATAATATGCAGTAACCTGCAACAATCAATCTGAGACCTGCTTTTATTATTCAGTGTAGACAAGCTTATCTAACTGCTTTCTGCTGGTTACTTCACATTGGTGTTTGCTTATATTAAAAGAGGTCAGCATGTGAGACTAGAGTACACATTTTTATGAACACTCGGCAGCTTGGCATGTAATGGAAGAAACATATGTATTTGTGGTTTGATTTTTTTTTTTGGTAACATTTAATTTGTTTTAAGCATAAAGGGTAATGGGATAACTATAAAAGTGGACATTGTTTTAACTAGACATGGACAAATTCTAGGAGCTTTGTAACTAATATTCTTTAAAGCGGATTTACGCAGCACCTGAGCACCACAAATCAAAAAAGCTATTTGATTAATTTTTAATATTCAAAGCAAACTCGTCAATTTTGAGAAAATATTTTGAAAAACACCTCCTAGCATGTCTAGCTGTGGCCATCTTGAGTCACGGCAAATGATTCATGTAGCATTTACTTTCTAGAATCCATTTGCTATTAGCTCAGGCATGCATGTTGGAGGGTGTGTGCTTAGCTGAGAACCCCTACTCCCCTTCTTAAGATTCCTGGGATGCATGACAACATTTGCCTAGGCCTGGAAACCAGAAAGTAACTGAAGAAATGTAAAACAAGTAAATATGCTTTACTTTCCTATCTCTTTAGTAATGCTAGCAGCATAAGTATTACAAATAGTCAATGTTGATTGAGAGAGTGAAGTTCTGCTTTAAGAGTGACTCTTGGTTCCAGAATTTTGGGGGCCATTTTTAACAATGTGTATAAGTAGACATCTCTACTGCTTCTTTGCTTCACTGATCTCCAGAGCTTAAAACATTCAGGTTTTTGTACACCCTCTAATAAAATGTAGGTATAATGTAGTCATGGTGTTAGTTTACCATCAAAAGAACATGGACAAATTAACATCTTGCTATCTTTGACGTCATATGTGTTCTGAACAGTGTTCTAGGGCAGTGTTTTTCAACTGGGTCTCTCAAAGAGTCCCCAGGGTTGTGCAGCAAAATGACATAAAACTGCCCCAAACCATAATCAAAGTTTGATCCTGTGCAACTCTTGTATACAGAGAGGAGGGAGAGGGCATAGCCCATAACTTCTTCTTGCTGCTATCTGTACACCTATTGGCAAACCCAGGAAGCTGTCCTGGGTTGTCGGCTTTAGTACAGATAGCAGCCACAAGGAGGTGCGGGCAAAGAGCAATGTAAAAATGCAATACCGTATAGCAGGGGTCCTCAAACCATGGCCCGTGGGCCACATGCGGCCCGCCGAGGCCATTTATCCGGCCCGCCGGCAGGGGCGGGACAGGAAGGGACACTAAGTACATGGGCGGGCAGGGGGCTGCTGTACCTTACCTGGCTCCGGTCCCAGTCCCACGACGATCCAGGAAGCGCTGCTCCTTCATTCACTCCGGCCACTCCCTCACTCCTGCCGCTCGGCTCCGCCTCCTCACCGGTGATTGGGTGCCAGAACTGTAGCTCAGAAAAGGCACACAGGCGGCCAATCACCTTCGAGGAGGCGGAGCCGAGCGGCCCCGCGAACATCGAGTGAGAGAGAGGCCGAAGAGAAGAAGGATAGCTGACAGGTAAGTGTGCCGTGCTGCTGCAACCAGGTATGCTGGCTGCAGTAGCACCTAGGCTGGAGCAGGGGTCAGCAAGTTACGTGTCATTGGTGTCAGTGGGAGGAATAGTGCCCCATCATTGATGTCACTGATAATAATGATGGGGCATTATTCCTCCCACTCACACCAATGATGGGGCACTATTCCTCCACTGACACCAATGATGGGACACTATTCCTCCCCCCACTGACACCAACGATGGGGCACTATTCCACCCTCCACTGACACCAACGATGGGGCACTATTCCACCCTCCACTGACACCAACGATGGGGCACTATTCCTCCCCCCCCACTGACTCCAATGATGGGGCACTATTCCACCCCCCCACTGACACCAATGATGGGGCACTATTCCACCCCCCACTGACACCAACGATGGAACACTATTCCTTCCCCCATTGACACCAATGATGGGGCACTATCCCCCCCACTGACACCAATGATGGAACACTATTCCTCCCACTGACACCAATGTTGGGACACTATCCCCCCCACTGACACTAATGACGGGGCACTATTCCCCTCCACTGACACAATGACGTACTATTCCTCCAACTGACACCAATGATGGGGCACTATTCTTCCCACTGACACCAATGATGGGGCACTATTCCCACCCACTGACACCAATGACGTACTATTCCTTCCACTGACACCAAAGATGGGGCACTATTCTTCCCACTGACAGCAATGATGGGGCACTATTCTTCCCACTGACACCAGTGATGGGACACTATTCCTCCCACTGACACCAATGTTGGGACACTATCCCCTTCCCCCACTGACACCAATGACGGGGCACTATCCCCCCCCCCCCACACTGACACCAACGATGGGGCACTATTCCTCCCCCACTGACACCAACGATGGGGCACTATTCCTCCCCCCACTGACACCAACGATGGGGCACTATTCCTCCCCCCACTGACACCAACGATGGGGCACTATTCCTCCCCCCACTGACACCAACAATGGGGCACTATTCCTCCCCCCACTGACACCAACAATGGGGCACTATTCCTCTCCCCACTGACACTAACGATGGGGCACTATTCCTCCCCCCACTGACACTAACGATGGGGCACTATTCCTCCCCCACTGACACTAACGATGGGGCACTATTCCTCCCCCCACTGACACTAACGATGGGGCACTATTCCTCCCCCCACTGACACTAACGATGGGGCACTATTCCTCCCCCCACTGACACTAACGATGGGGCACTATTCCTCCCCCCACTGACACTAACGATGGGGCACTATTCCTCCCCCACTGACACTAACGATGGGGCACTATTCCTCCCCCCACTGACACTAACGATGGGGCACTATTCCTCCCCCCACTGACACTAACGATGGGGCACTATTCCTCCCCCCACTGACACTAACGATGGGGCACTATTCCTCCCCCCACTGACACTAACGATGGGGCACTATTCCTCCCCCCACTGACACTAATGATGGGGCACCTTTCTTTCCACTGACACCAATGAAGAGGCACTATTCCTCCCACTGACACCAATGAAGAGGCACTATTCCTCCCACTGACACCAATGATGGGGCACTATTCCTCCCACTGACACCAATGAAGAGGCACTATTCCTCGAACTGACACCAATGATGGGGCACGTTTCTTCCCACTGACACCAATGATGGGGCACGTTTCTTCCCTCTAACACCAATGATGGGGCACTATTCCTCCCACTGACACTAATGATGGGGCACGATTCTTCCCACTGACACCAATGAAGAGGCACTATTCCTCCCACTGACACCAATGATGGGCACTATTCCTCCCACTGACACCAATGATGGGGCACTATTCCTCCCACTGACACCAATGATGGGGCACTATTCCTCCCACTGACACCAATGAAGAGGCACTATTCCTCCCACTGACACCAATGATGGGGCACGTTTCTTCCCACTGACACCAATGATGGGGCACTATTCCTCCCACTGACACCAATGATGGGGCACTATTCCTCCCACTGACACCAATGATGGGGCACTATTCCTCCCACTGACACCAATGATGGGGCACTATTCCTCCCACTGACACCAATGATGGGGCACTATTCCTCCCACTGACACCAATGATGGGGCACTATTCCTCCCACTGACACCAATGATGGGGCACTATTCCTCCCACTGACACCAATGAAGAGGCACTATTCCTCCCACTGACACCAATGATGGGGCACGTTTCTTCCCACTGACACCAATGATGGGGCACGTTTCTTCCCTCTAACACCAATGATGGGGCACGTTTCTTCCCTCTAACACCAATGATGGGGCACTATTCCCGCCGCCGTTGTATGTCCGCAGTATCTGGTCATCTCCTGTACTGTGTCTGCATTTGTTCATAGTTTTTTTTTTTTTTTTTTTAAAACTATAGTCCGGCCCTCCAGCGGTCTGAGGGACAGTGAACTGGCCCCCTGTTTAAAAAGTTTGAGGGCCCCTGCCCTATAGGAACTATTTAGAATAATGTTTTTGATCACATCAGTCTTATTATTTGTTTCGGTGAAGTGCAGTTTTGCTTTTTTTTCATTGCTCTTCACTTCACTTTATTGGATAAGAACAATGTCTGAATCATTGTTCTAGTTTATTATAGGTGTGCTTTCCTCACATTGATGTAAATTCATACTATTAATTGCCAGCTTTAGGAATAAGTTGTGCGATCTTTCATTAATTGTCACATTCATCTTTATTTTTTAATACTGTAAAGAGCATACAGCAAGCAGTAGTACCACTTATCAAGCCTACATACTCTCATAATAAGTTACTCCTTTTTTTTCTCTCCTATTTGTAACTTACTATTTATCATCACGACTGATGTCTTCAGAAGGGCATACATTTTGCGCCCTTTATCAGATTGGCATGGAACGTTTTACACCTACCTTTGTAAAACCAGAAGCTATTGCTTTCATTCAACTGTCCACGAAGGGGAAGGTCCTTTTACACTCTGCAACAAAATGTGCTGTAGGGCTCATGTAGACACGCATTCTGTTCCTGTGTTTGATGTGTGTTTGAGATGCACCTCAAATGCACAGCAGCAAAATTCCACTGACTTTAATTGAGCAGTACACTTGGCAGTTAAGAGGTTGAATTTGACCTGCTTTGCATTGCGATGCTTTTCTTTGGAACAGCAGTCTTACAAGTAAAGGCTGCATTTGACTTGATTTGCCTGCAATTAAAACATTTTGTATTCTATTTGAAAGCAGCTACATGTGCGTTTGAATGGAAAATGCCTGTTTTCATAATCCTCAATGTGGTTTATTGGTAAACTGAGCGTATATAAATCACAGTCATGTAACTGAACTTGCATAAGTGTGCTGAATGTTTGTTTCCAAACTGACACCAAAAGCTAAAAAAGAAATAGCCAAGTTGGTGTCTGGTACGGTGTAGCCTATAGAAAAGGAACAATTTTGCCAGTTTTTATAACCTATAATACCATTGTATTACAGTATAGCCAGCCATTTTTTTGTCTATATTTGTTTGTGTAGTACTTTAGTAACTGTTAGAAGCAGTGCTTAGGTTTCCATCTGAACATAGACATACATGCAGATGTTTCACTGGAACTAATCATCAGCTCTATATCTGCCCATGCCTGCTTTCAGTAACATATCAGAAACATTGCTATGTTCTCATCTGCTAGACGAACAGTTGAGTGGCAGTGTATGCAAGGGGAAGTCTTTAGTGACGTGAACAGATGGTGCTAGGACCTTTCTGGTCAAAAGTGCTCATTACTGCTCTCTAGGGAAGACATACATGGCCTGAAATTCATGGTTCCATTCACTTACTTCACATGTTCAATCTAGACAAGCCAGTGCCATAGAGCTTTGCTTTATGAATGGAACTGAAGGTAAACTTTGAATGATTTGAATTGTCTTCTGTGTTGTCATTTTCCTCCATTTCAAGTCCTATTTACAGTGTCACATAATCCCCTTTGACCTGATCTAGCAATCAGAGTTCTGAGGAAACGTGTCATCCTTCATTCCTGTGAAACCATTGAATAGATTGCCCACAAGGCCAGTTGCATGTGGGGAAAAAAAGAAAATCTTATATGATAGCATTTTATGGTCATACTAATTGGAAAACATGGCAGAAATTGGTGGTGATCGAAAAAAAATGACAGACACTTGTAATCATCTGTATATACACTGAAGCCAGCACACGACCAAAAGCTTGTGGTCAGATGTGTCTATTTGTAACCAGGGTAAGAATCCATGAATGTTGCACCGCTAATTTTCTGAATATCAATGCAACATATTTGGCTGGAAGTAGTTTTCATGATTATCTATGTCAGATGGAGCCAATAGTCCAGGTCTGAGGAACCCTCAGCCATTCTGAACAACTTCCAAGGTACTGAAAATTAAGAACTTATTGAGGAAACTATATATAGCAGTAAGCTGTGATTGTTCTAATAGTTAAAGGCTTACTTTAACATATAGTTGGTTTATAAGCATGGCTAATTTGCCTTTCCTTAGCTCAATTTTTATCAAAGTGCCTTCATAGGCTCAGACACAAAATTGTTTACAAATATGTGACAGTTACCTGGTTTCTTTTTGCTATACCAAATTTTATAAAAAAAAATGTAAGATGCTACTTGTTTTTATTTATGTTTAGAGTGTTTTAATTTTTGGAGAAGTTTTGAAAAACAAATTTTGTTAATGTGTATGATATTTTTGAAAATCGCTTCTGTTTCTTGCTAATAAATGTAATCAAATGTATTATGCATTTAAAATCTTCCATGTTGCAGAGTTTAAAGCGCAGCCTGGAGCAGGCCCGAATGGAGGTTTCCCAGGAGGATGACAAAGCTCTGCAGCTCCTACATGACATCCGAGAACAGAGCAGAAAGTTGCAGGATATTAAGGAGCAGGTACAATCTATCTCCTTCATTAATTAGTTTAGAAATCTCCCAGGGAGGGACCTCACTGGTATGCCATTTTAAGACATCTGACATAGACTTTCTTAAACAAAACACTGCTTAAATTGAAAGATCACAATACATTTTTTATGCTTTCTCTTTCACTGTTAAAATGTCACTTTTTTGCACTTCCCATCTTGTCAGTGTTGTATTTCAGAGTGGGACATATTCTCTTTTCAGCATATTATGTCTCCCTCCCAGGGGCGGACTGACCATTTGCAGACTCGGGCACTGCCCGAGGGCCCGGGATCTGTAGGGGGCCCCATGAGATGCCCCTGGTACCTTTTTTCATAGGCTTTTTTGAGTTTGGGCAAGGACACAGGGGCCCCATGATCCCCTATTGCCTGGGGGCCCCATGAGTTGTCAGTCCGCCCCTGCTCCCTCCACAGGGTGAGGTGAGTATGATTCAGAAAAAGACTACTTAGTATTGAGGAGGCGCTTAAGTGTTAATGAGTCACACGTGCAGCACTGGAATAGATGACTCCACACCTGAAAGCCACATCAACAAGAGGATTGGTTGAGGACTTAGGCAACAATAACTTGCTTCACAAGGTACAGAAAAATAAAAACCCTGCAGGATGGGTGTCAAATTTTCTTGAAGTGAGGCTTTAAGTTAATGTTTACATCTACTTTAATAGCTCATTTTAGGAGATGCAAGTGGAGAGGATAAAATATGGGTGCTTTAGCCTAGGACATAGTTTGGAACTCTTTGGACATTTTGGGCATTACTTTCACTACTTCCACTTCTACTCAGCCTCAAAATCATAAAGCCAGATTGCCATTGCCAGAATATAACATACTCCCTAATCTAAATAGGTGGAATAATCTCATGTGTCAAGGACCTTTGGCTCTGCTGTATTCCAGACAAGTCAGTTTTCTTCCTCTGTGTCACATGTTCTGTAATGGAAAAGGGAATGGATCCCCAAAGAAAGGCATGTTGGCTGTCTTTGCAACAAAAGAATTTAGGTAGAACTTGTTATGGTCAGCTGACAGAGCAGGTCTAGCCTTCCGACTGTTGTGGAAAATGAATACTCCCACTGATACTGTGATAATACAATTCTGTCTTTGCAATAATTCTTGCATACTGCTCTTTTGCCATCAGTTATTTTATTTTTTTTTTTTTATAGGAATTTCAAGCCCAATTAGAAGAAATGAAGCTGATGATGCACCAGTTAGAAGAAGACCTGGCTGTTGCACGCAGGCATAGCGATCTGTATGAAGCAGAGCTAAGAGAGTCTAGAGCTGCTGTAGATGAGTTTAAACGTAAAGCAACAGAAAGCCATCAAAAGCTGCAGAAGGTAAACAATATGTACATTTTTGAATTATAAAATAGTGCAGCGCTGATAAACTTTATATTTACACTGGATATAAGGCTAACCACAACCTAAATATACAGTGTGAAGTCCAAAGAAATAATGTCCAATGATAGTGACAAATAGATGAAACGGTGACTTTGTTACTTCCCAGTGAGGCACTCACTCAAAAACCACGCAGGAAATATAAGTAATGCGCACTTACCAGATGCGCAATATGAAAGAGCAATAATATAAGCCAGAGGTCCCCTTTTCTCCTATGGAAGGTGCAGCTCACACTGGGCAGGTTATTCCACAATATTGGCGCCTTTAGAGGTCTTCTCTACTGGTGGAAGCCGCTGTGGGAGTCGGCGCATATGAGTCACTCTCCTCTGGGCCTCAGTGGTCACCATAGGGTCCTGGGGGATTAAATGCTCGATGTGGAGCAGAGAATAATGGCCATAGTGTGGTAGGTCAAAATCTCAGATTTTATTGGTAATAAAAGTAATGAGCATACATGAAAACGAACTTGGAGGCCTTCGCCGATCAAGTGTATAAGGTATATAGTAAAATCGTTCAAACTATTCATAACACTAACCAGCTGGATGGTAATGGAGGCCACCGGACCTCCTTGATCCAATGGCGTGTTGTCTCAGGCGTGTGTGCCTCCTCCTTGCACACAAAGTGCATTCTCAAAAGGGGCATCACCCCTTATATTATTGGCTTATATTATTGCTCTTTCATATTGCGCATCTGATGAGTGCGCATTTCTTATATTTCCTGCACGGTTTTTGAGTGAGTGCCTCACTGGGAAGTAACGAAGTCACCGTTTCATCTATTTGTCACTATCATTGGACATTATTTCTGTGGACTTCACACTGTATATTTAGGTTGTGGTTAGCCTTATATCCAGTGTAAATATAAAGTTTATCAGCGCTGCACTATTTTATAATTTATATGCTCGAGAGGTTTATGGTTTCCTTTTAGTGTATCAGCTGCTTATGTTCTTATCATAGCGCTTGCTGAACTACTTCTATTCAATATGTAAATCTTTATTTTGACAAAAATAATGCTTATTTTAACTTTTTTTAATCATAAAGCTAAACTATGAGCATATCTAGAAAAAAAAAAAAAAAAAGAACCAATCATTTATTATAGTTTTTATTCAATGTTGATAACATAATAAATAGATGAACCTCAGGACCTGGATAAAAGAGATAATATTCAAAAGTGTTGTTTATTCAGATTCAAGTTTTGGCAGGACAGTGTGTCTTTCTCAAGATAAAATCTCTACTGACAACGCAAGGTTAAACCGCCACAAACCCTTGTACACTAGACATATAGCCAATAGAATGGGATGCCAGCACTGTAAATCAGTGCACCAGGATTGCTTTCTTGCAGGTCCTGTAGCATGTTAAAAATCACAGCAAATATGCGTGGTCGCTTGCCAGGCTCTTTAATGCCAATTGAGGTTCTGGCTTCAGACATGTAAATGATAGACAGCAAAATTTTGTTCCAGGAAGTAAAGGGCACAGAAAAAGGGTGGTGAGAAAAAGGGTCATCACTCTTGTGAGAAACTGAGGCGCTCTGTACAGCCTAATATGGGATTTATTTGAACACTAACACAGCTACTCATTACAGCACTGCCACTGCATTCTGGCACTCTTTTGGTCAAGGTCAGGTTCATTTTAATGTCTTTTAAAGAAATTATAATTTTATTTTGTTTTTTTTTTTTTTTTTTTTTTTTTTTTTTTTTTTTTTTTTATGTTCATTGTAAATCCTTTACCCCAGCTACAGTACATTGTCTTTAAACTTATACCTGAGTGCATTTTTTTTTTTTTTTTTTTTTTTTTTTCCTTTTCGTTTGTGTGTTTCTTTTTCATCAACATCTGCCTTTTTAATATACCCTTTTTCTGCTTTTGCTCATAACCTAGTTTTGTCACTGGTTCTTGCTGTGTTATTATAACATTTTTGTTTTAGGAACAATAATGTGTCTGGTCCTTTTGTAAAGAGTATTCCTTATCTCAGACCCTGTTTCCGTTAGAATGTAATCTTTTGCAGGAATAACATTCCTGCCTTTTTGTTTTATTGTTTATAGATACATATAATATTCATAAGTGTATTATTTCTTTCTCATTCATTGAGGGACACAGAGTTCAGAGACTGTTGGGTCATAGAGCGCTATTCAGTTCCAAAGCTGTGACATAGCCGAAGGTGTTGCCCTGTTTACCATGGAGGGAGTAAGAGAGCTTGAGTACTGATGTCATCCATTGGGTGGAATGTCGCATGCATGCTCCTTGCTCTCTTTTTCAACATTTAGTTTTTAGGGAGCACTTTCCTCCTGCTGCTTCGGAGGGTAAGTGACACATGGAATCCTTTGGCCGCCTAACCCATCTCCTGCTACCCAGCAGATGGGTTTGTGTGTATATGAAGCCTAGCTATATGTACCTGGGGCTGTTGCCTTCTGCCTTGTGAACAAAATGTTTGATCATAGACATGGGGAGGCCAGTCTTTCTGTATTAGTTACCTCCAGCGCACACTCTACTAACGGTTCTGGTGCCGCCTACATTGTGCCCCCTGAGGTGCCAGACACTGACAGCCTGGAATTTTGCCCTTTGTCAGAGTTCATGCTCTCTTTGGAGTCTTCCTTAGCCAATTGGGTGTGGCCTCTATTTTTGGTCTTATGCAGGATGGTTTTCACAGCAGACATGTAGGATTTTTTTGGCCAGTTAGCAAGTTTGACTCTGGCTGCCCTTCCTAGGATCCTTATCTGATGTGCTTGGCCTTAAAGGCCTCTGAGCTCTCAGTTGTCAAGGCTTTGTTTCATACAGAGTTCACTGGAAAAGGCCAGCACAATGGTATAAATCAGCAGGGTATATATTTTATTATTGCTTACAAAGGAGCACAGCCAAAAAAGTCAACGTGTTTTGGCCATTAGGGCCTTAATCATGACTCATGCCTTATTCATGACTCGGTCATGATTAAGGCCTTAATGGCTGAAACAGATTTAATTTTTTTGATTGTAATCCACTGCACACAATAATAAAGTATATATCCTGCTGATTTATACTGATGTGCCTGCCCTTTTCAGTGGACTGCATTGCCAGGGCATCAGTTTTATAGTCCTATCTGGCTCGTGGGAAGTTGTAGAACTGCATTATTTGTTTCTATTTTGTCTGATACAGAGTCCTATAAGTCGTTAACGCACGAGCCAATGTCAAAGGAGATGCAGTCTTCTGTTATCTCTCTTTTGATGCAGTGTTGTCCATTATTGATACACACTACTTTTAAACATGAGCCTCGGCGTATAGCTCTACTAGAGCTGTCCCCTAGTCTAGTAGTCTAGGCTCCTAGGCCTGCCAAGACCTTTTTTGGTGCACTCTTTATTTATGGACACTGGAAGAACTCGAACAAGCTCCTTTGTCTCTCCCAAGCACCTGTCGACCTTGTATCCCTTTGAGGAGGACTTTTTGAAAAAATGGGCTGCCCTCTCTGTGGATCCAGAGCAGCTTTCTCAGAGGCTCTGGGGACTTTTTGTTATTGCATGGGTGATCAGATGGAGCACTACACACAGGCTGTAATGAGGCAGCACCCACACAGCAAGGCTTCCCTCAATGGGCACCCAACAGTAAACTGTAGAAATACAGAAAGGGGCGTCAGACCAAAATTGTATGAAAGAGTCAAAGATCATTTTAATTGTTGGTAAAAAAAAAAGTTATATTAAAACAGCCAATGCGTTTTGGGGGCAACACTTGTGAGCAGGAAGTTAGGAAGGGTTTTATTTTTGCCTTTACCCTTGTAACTCTCCTAAAGGGGGCAGTATAACCTGACAGTATTTGAATTTCTTCTGTCCCTCAGTAAACTAAATTGTATGGTAGTTACCAAAATCCTATTTATTTGCCTATTAAAATGCAAAAGTGAAATATTTATAAATAATGAGCTGCATAGTTGGAAAGCACTTGTATGCATCTCCTGTCTTTTCATTGACACTTACAGCTTATTTTCTTATGCAGGCAAAAGATCATGGTAAAGCTGAAGTAGGGGAACTGCATTCAAAGCTTGAGAAGGTTTGTGTTTATTCCCTCTTTTGTTCTACATTTAGATGTTTTAATAAAGAGAAGGGCCAAAATAAACTTTTAATGCTCTCTGTTTAAAGCCCATTTATGGACAAAGCTCCCCTCCCTTCCATCACTCACTTCCACCAATTTTATAAATATATATATTTCGTAAAACCTTTTTTATATTCCTTGAGTTTGCTGTATATGTTCTATACTGGTTACACTTTCAAGAGTGACACCTGGTGAACCCAGTGCTTCAGTGTGGCTTTTGCTTTATGTCACTGCCTGGGTGACGTGTACACTTCCTAATGCTCTTCAGCAGCAGGTCTTCTCAGGATCCAGACGACTGCAACAATGTGATGTTACGAAAAGATGATCAGTCATCTTTTCTTAACATCACATTGTTGCAGTCTTCCGGATCCTGAGAAGACCTGCTGCTGAAGAGCATTAGGAAGTGTCCACGTCACCCAGGCAGTGACATGGGCACCTGAAGGTGCTTTGTTTGTGCTTTGATATTTGACAACAACTTGCTCCAGTCAGATGGCATGATTCAGCTTATGAGAGAGTCATTCTTGTGCAGGTCCCATCACATCCCACATTTCATTGTTGTTACCTCTTTATTGGATGCCAAAACCCTTTTAATGCTTTGTGGGATGTAGTGTGTACTGTCAATTGGAAATGGGGTTTACAATGCACAGTGTAAGAACTTTGAAATTTGTATAAACATTATTTTGTAAAACAAGTTTTATATTCATTATGTCTGCTGTATATGTCTTATGCTGGTGCTACTTCCAGGAGTGACAACTGGTGGATCCTGTGCTGTAGTCTGTGTCTATGCTGATTGGTCATCTCTTTGTAATGTCATCACATTGCTGCAGTCTTCTGGATCCTAATAGGATCTGCCACTGGACAGCATTGTCGATGTCACCCAGGCAGTGACACAAACACCCGAAGAAGTATCCTGAAAAACATGGAAGACTCATGACCTAATAGGTCAAGTGACTGTAGATTTTGGTGAGTATTTGAGGCATTTAAATTAAATTTTTTTTTTCCATTAACTCAGTAATTCGGAGGGTGAACTATGTCTGGAGTTCAGCTTTAGGCTACGTTTGTCTGCTTTTTAAATTCCATAAGGTGCTTTGTTTGTGTTTTTGGTTCTAGGTTCTATAGTACCTGTATTTTAGAACAAATCATAAAACTGTTGTTACGCTTTGATATTAGGCAACATCTACCTAATGGTGTCAGGCAAATGGCATGTTTCAACTTTTGAAAAAATAGAGAAAAACAGCGCAAACATAGACCTCTAAATAGACTCAATATACAAACTGCAAACATAAATAAAAAATTGATCAATAGTGAAGTCCATCAAGATAAACCAAAGTTCAAAAAAAATAAAAAAAAATATTTGTGCAAAAAGAAATATTTTTCAAATTCTTCTTCTATTATAAAGGAACTTCCACCTTCCACCCGTGAAAACCAATATCAAATACACTCACCAGATAAAGGTGAATAAAACGCCTCTTAGGAATTTATGGGATCCTAAACCCTCTTTCGTATCCACTCTATAGGAATCCTCCTCTCCAGCATAGGCTCCACCATCCGACCAGGGAGAAAAAAATCTCAGATAGTGTAATATTGTAAGACACCATTCATAAGTGAAATCAAGGATTAAGGCCACTCACATTAAATTCACTTTAAAAAGGCATATTTATTAGGACCAGCTTCTTTCAGATGAACAGTAGATGCAAGGCAACCTCCCACGGAATCTCACATCACAGCTCCAGGTTACAGCAGAAGCTCTACAGAGACACCGCATATACAGATCCCAAAAGATGGCCGCTGGAACGCACCGCTCAGCGTGCGCTCCACTCACCGGAAGTGACGTCAGACGTACGGAATAGAAACCGGAAATGCGTCTATTTAAATTAAAAAATTTTTCCATTAACTCAGTAATTCGGAGGGTGAACTATGTCTGGAGTTCAGCTTTAGGCTACGTTTGTCTGCTTTTTAAATTCCATAAGGTGCTTTGTTTGTGTTTTTTTGGGTCTTCTAGGTTCTATAGTACCTGTATTTTAGAACAAATCATAAAACTGTTGTTAAGCTTTGATATTAGGCAACATCTACCTAATGGTGTCAGGCAAATGGCATGTTTCAACTTTTGTCACACTTACACATGCCCCATCACATCCCGCATTGCATTGTGGTCATTTCTTTATTGGATGCTAAAGCAGTTTTATTGCTTTGTGCACTGTAAGTTGGAAATTGGGTTTCCAAAATGCAGTGTAGTAGTTTTGAAGCTCATAGTAACTTTCTGTCAACACTGCCTAATACCAGCTGTCAGGGCTGCTGGTTCATGCTATAGAAACGCAGTCCACATGTATTCCGGATGCGTTTTTGCATGCGCGGTTTTGGCGCGTTTCGGTGCATTTTTTATGTGTTTTTTAGACGTGTTCCAGTGCGGTTTTTATGCATTCCAGTTCATTTTTTTACCTCTCTTTTCTTCAGTTTAAATAGGGACATGTGTATTCCAGTGCATTTTTGGTGCGTTCCGGTGCGGTTTTTTTATGTTTTACCGCATTCCAGTACAGTTCTGTGCAGGAAAAATGTAGCCTGTTCTACTTTTTTTTTCTGCAACTGGAACGCACTGGAACTGCAAGCACTGATGTGAACTATGACACTGACAACCATATAACCTTCTTTCTGTGTGTTTTGGATGCAGAAAAAAAGCAACTGAAACGCATGTAGTGTGAACTGGCCCTCAGTGTGATGGCTTCTCAGTGTTTGTGAGAATTCAATAATTAACGCAACTCACCTTTTATCTTTTTAGATCAATGCTGAACAACAGAACAAGATTCAGGAGCTGCAAGACAAACTCACAAAGGTATTTGGCCTTCCTAAAGCGGAACTACGCTGCATCTGAGCACTATTGCTGTTTAATTAATTTTTAATATTCAAAGCAAACTCACCTATCCATCCATGTCTCCATGCTTTATTTTGATGAGAATCGCTGTGAAAAACAGCCCCTAGAATGTCTTGAGTAAGGGCAGATGATTCATGCAGCATTGACTTCCTGGAATCCATCTGTCCTTAGCTCAGGCATGAAGGATGTGCTTAGCTGAGAAAACCCCTTCTCCCCTCTTGAAGACTTCTAGGATGTATTACATCATTTGCCCTTTAAATCACAAAGAAGTAACTGCGGAAATGTAAGAAAAAATTTAAAACAAGTAAATATGCTATATTTTTCCTATCGATTTACTAAAACAAAAAATAAAAACTGAAGAACACAAGCGTTACCTAGTCAAAGTGAATAATAGAAGTGGAAACCATAAACATAATATTAAATAGTTCATAGCCACGTGTTTCTTCATACAAAAAAATGGTGCAGTCCCTTGCATGATTTCTTTAAATAAAGTGTAAACTGTGATCCCACTCACGCACTGACAGCTTTAGACTTTAAAATATATGTCATAATTGCTTATGTAGGTATTCTGGTATCGCTGGGACTTGTAATCCTCTATAGCTGTGTCTTGACTCAGTAGTGGTGTGTCTTAATTTGATGACAATGTTCACAGGGGTATATGGCTCATATATAAAGGAGATAATAGAAGGGACTCGCATAGTGTGATTCCATATATTAAATTCAACAGATAAAATTGGTTACACAGTAAATAGAAGGATCAGAGCAAAATCGTCGGTCCCAAAGTGACACACTGATGTGGGTTCCATAGGCCGGATGTGAGGTCACCAATGGTCTCTACACAACGCCTTTCACCCCCTCCCACTGGGGGTCTTCAAAGGCTGAACTAAGCAGTGGTTGTATAGTTCAGTTTTTAGTTGTCAAAGAGTGATAGTATACAAACATTTAAAAATGTTTTTTTTTTCAGTTCATATGTCTATAATATCTGAGTATATGTCTAATATCTGAGTATTGTTCATTTATATTAATAACAAAAGGGTTGGCACATTTACAGTAGAGCCAAAGACAAAACGTGTTTTGTTTTTGATAGAGTAAAGGAGGGTTAGAATCTCTGTCAGGTTTTTTTGCCATCTTTTTCCCATTGGGGAGAATTCACTTCCTGACCCATAGGCGAAAGAGGAAGTGAGAAGAAATCTTTCCAAAATAAGGGAATTCCTGGTGACCAGAACTAGCACCCCCTTTGCAAGATTTCCATTCTATTAGTGTCCTAGTTTCACTTTTGATAATAATGGTACACAGAACAGGTAGAGAGGTTTATTCTCCATAGCAGGGGCACAGACAGCACAAACATTACAGTTGTTCTAATCATACTCCACTCTATCCAAGACTCCAAAAAAAAAATGTTTAGCGTATACTTTAACTACCTGCCGACCGCAGATAGCCGAATGACGGCTGCACTGCGGCCGGCCAGTTCTGGGTGGACGTCATATGACGTCCTCCCAGAACGCGCTCTCCTGCGCGCCCCAGGGGGCGCGCACCCGGCGATCTCCGTGATCCTACGGACACAGCTGATCACGTGATGTGGTAAAAGGCCAATCACAGCGGCCTTTTACCACGTGATCAGCGGTGTCCAATGACACGCTGATCAGAGGGAAATGCAAGTGCCGGTTCTCGGCTGCACTTTCCTCACGCTGTCAGATCGTGAGGAAAGTACTGCCGAGAACCGGCAGTTGTCAGAGCGGGGATCGGCACCGATCATCAGGGCACTGATGATCAGTGCCCTGATGATCGGTGCCCAGCAGTGCCACCCGCAAGTTCCGCCCACCTGTGCCCAGCAGATCACCCACCTGTGCCCAGCAGTGCACCCACCTGTGCCGCTCTGCAGTGTCACACACCTATGCCCAGAAGAGCCACCTACCTGTGCCCACCAGTGCCACCCACCGGTGCCCACCCACCTGTGCCCACCAGTGCCACCCACCTGTGCCCACCCACCAGTGCTGCCCACCAGTGCAGCCCAGCAGTGCTGCCAGTCAGTGCCACCAGTCAGTGCCCAGCGGTTGTGCCAGTCAGTGCCGCCAGTCAGTGCCCAGCAGTGATGCCAGTCAGTGCCGTCTATCAGTACCCATCATCAGTGTCACCTATCAGTGCCGCCTATCAGTGCTGCATATTAGTGCCGCCTATCCGTGCCACCTCATTAGTGTTGTCTATCAGTGCCGCCTATCCGTGCCACCTCATTAGTACTGCCTATCAGTGCCCTTTAGTGCTGCCTATCAGTGCCCATCAGTGCCGCCTATCAGTGCCCATCAGTGCTGCCTCATCAACGCACATCAGTGAAGGAGAAAAAATACCTGTTTGAAAAATTTTATAATAGAAACAAAGAAACTTTTTTTTTTTTCAAATTTTTTGCAGTTTTTTTTATTTATAGCGCAAAAAGTAAAGCGCCCAGTGGCGATTAAATATACCACCAAAAGAAAGCTCTATTTGTGAGAAAAAAATGATCAAAATTTCATATGGGTACAATGTTGCATGACCGCGCAATTGTCAATCAAAGTGCGGCAGCGCTGAAAGCTGAAAATTGGCCTGGTAAATAAGGGGGTATAAGTGCCCGGTAGGCAAGTGGTTAATGTGGCTCTAAAGGCAAATGTTTTTTTTTTTTTTTTTACCTTAATACATCCTATGCATTAGGGTAAAAAACCTTCTGGCTGCAGCCCCCCATCTTGATGCAGCAATGTGCATGAGAGCCATGGCTTTCCCAGGTCTCTCTCTCCTCATTGGCTCACACAGCAGCAGGAGACATTGACTCCTGTTGCTGTCAATCATAGCCAGTGAGCCAATGAGAAGAGAGCGGGGATGCGGGGCCAAGCCACACTCTGTGTGTGAATGGACAATGTCCCTTCACAGGAGAGCAGCTCGAGCGCCAGCCTGCTCTAGTGCCCCCATAGCAAGAGGCTTGCAATTGGGGGAATTTAGCTGGGGGGAGTAGCCAGGAACACCGGCTGAGGACCCAAAAAGAGGAGGATCGGGCCTGCTCTGTGCAAAACCATTGCACAGAGAAGGTAAGTATAACATGTTAGGTTTTTTATTTTTTGTTTTTTTACATCCCAACCTTTAGAATCATTTTAAGGAATGATAGTAGACCAACATTTAAAAATGTGGATTTTTTTCATCATCCATTCATATGTTTAATCTAATTGTTGTTCATCTATAATAATAATCATCATCATTAGATTAGTCTTATATTTTTTTTGATTATTCTTTTAAAGATACTTATTTGTTTTTTGTATTTTGCTCTTTTTAAATTGGTATACTTTGTTATTCAGTATATGCAAAACATTTTTCATTTGTATTATGTCTTTCATTTTTCTCAGTATGCACAAGCCTTTTTTCAGATTCCAATTAAGCTTAACAGGTATACAGAAAAATATTTCTTTGGTGTCCAGGTTACTATATTTAATGAAGTGGCCATTCGCAACACTATTTTTCTGATGTAATTCTTATGCTATTTAAGTGCACCACTTCATAATTTCGTGTGCATAAATTGCTGTGACCCCAATACCATTTTAGCATGCAGCGGTTTTTGTGCCTTCCCCTCTGAGACTTAGGGAGACATCTTTAAATGTGCAAAGAGTGCCCTGAAAGCCTTGGGCCAATTTGGTTTTCAGCTCATTATTGTTAACTGGACTGAAGCCAACATATGCTTAAATAGAACCATTTATGACTAACCTTTTGCAAGAATCTGAATATGTGATCTTAAAAAAAAAAAATAAAATACTGTCAAAATGTGTCCTGTGTCGGCATTCAAATAGCTATATTTGTCCCTTTCTTTAGCTGCAGTTAATATGTCTCGTTTAACTTGTGACTTGTGGTCAGAGGTCATATGAAATCTGACAATTGCTGCCCTGACTACTCGCCTACCTACTGGGAGCGTTAATGCCCAATTGAACTTCCAGTTTAAATCCACTGAAAGCTTTCCAGGTACATCAAAACATGACGTGTGCAAGGTCTTACGGTTTGTTTTTTTTTTTTTTTTTTAGAAAGCTGCTACAGCCTGAGTAGAAAAGCATGTCCCCTGCTAGTATGTTGCAGAGAAAGGACCCTTGCTCTCTTTGCATAAGTGGTGATCTCTCTGCAGAAGTCGAGCACACTACCTGTGGAGGCAGTCCTATAGTTCTTCTGTCAGCAATTTTTATACGCTCTGGTGACTGGACAGTTCTAGCTCTGACTCAATAAGGGGCATGTTGGACCTCTGAAGAGAGACTGCTGCTTCTGCACAGAGATCAAGGGTCTTTCTGTGAAGTAAGTATGCAGGCAGGGGATTGGCTTTTCTACTCCAATTTGGTAATTCCAGCATTAAAGCTGAATTCCATGTATGCCAATGTTTATGTAAGTATGTACAGGTGAAACTCGAAAAATTTGAATATCGTGCAAAAGTTCAACTATTTCAGTAATGCAACTTAAAAGGTGAAACTAATATATGAGAGAGACTCATTACATGCAAAGCAAGATAGTTCAAGCCGTGATTTGTCATAATTGTGATGATTATGGCTTACAGCTCATGAAAACCCCAAATCCACAATCTCAGAAAATTAGAATATTGTGAAAAGGTGCAATATTCTAGGCTCAAAGTGTCCCACTCTAATCAGCTAATTGAGCCTTTAAATGGTCTCTCAGTCTGGTTCAGTAGGAATCACAATCATGGGAAAGATTGCTAACCTGACAGTTGTGCAGAAAACCATCATTGACACCCTCCATAACGAGGGAAAGCCTCAAAAGGTAATTGCAAAAGAAGTTGGATGTTCCCAAAGTGCTGTATCAAAGCACATTAATAGAAAGTTATGTGGAAGGGAAAAATGTGGAAGAAAAAGGTGCACAAGCAGCAGGGATAACTGCAGCCTGGAGAGGATTGTCAGGAAAAGGTCATTTAAAAGTGTTGGGGACTTTCACAAGGAGTGGACTGAGGCTGGAGTCAGTGCATCAAGAGCCACCACACACACAGACGGATCCTGCACATGGGCTTCAAATGTCTTATTCCTCTTGTCAAGCTGCTCCTGAACAACGAACAACATCAGAAGCGTCTTACCTGGGCTAAAGGAAAACAGACCTGGTCTGTTGCTCAGTGGTCCAAAGTCCTCTTTTCTGATGAGAGCAATTTTTACATCTCATTTGGAAACCAAGGACCCAGAGTAAGGTAGAAGAATGGAGAGGCACATACTGCAAGATGCTTGAAGTCCAGTGTGAAGTTTCCACAGTCTGTGTTGATTTGGGGAGCCATGTCATCTGCTGGTGTTGGTCCACTGTGCTTCATTAAGTCCAGGGTCAACGCAGCCGTCTACCAGGAGATTTTGGAGCACTTCATGCTTCCTTCCGCAGACAAGCTTTATGGGGATGCTGACTTCATTTTCCAGCAGGACTTGGCACCTGCCCACACTGCCAAAAGCACCAAAACCTGGTTCAATGACCGTTGGATTACTGTGCTTGATTGGCCAGCAAACTCGCCTGACCTGAACCCCATAGAGAATCTATGGGGCATTGCCAAGAGAAAGATGAGAGACATGAGACCGAACAATGCAGAAGAGCTGAAGGCCGCTATTGAAGCATCCTGGTCTTCCATAACACCTCAGCAGTGCCACAGGCTGATAGCTTCCATGCCACGCTGCATTGAGGCAGTAATTGCTGCAAAAGGGGCCCAAACCAAGTACTGAGTACATATGCATGCTTATACTTTTCAGAGGTCCAATATTGTTCTATGTACAATCCTTGTTTTATTGATTGCATGTAACATTCTAATTTTCTGAGATTGTGGATTTGGGGTTTTCATGAGCTGTAAGCCATAACCATCACAATTATGTCAAATCACGGCTTGAATTATCTTGCTTTGCTTGAATGAGTCTATCTCATATATTAGTTTCACCTTTTAAGTTGCATTACTGAAATTAACTTTTGCACGATATTCTAATTTTTCGAGTTTCACCTGTATATGCCATACCAATGGGATCCCTGTGGAAGCTGAAGATCACTGTAGAAAGCATAGCTTAGGCCTTTGCCGAGCTGCTACCATGCTGCTTACTAAACACAGGAGATCATTTGATCAGCTTATTTGCCAGAGAACACTTTAAATATGCTCATGAATGCAAGTGTTCTGGTATTGGACGAGGTAGAGATTGTGACATCACTGCCCTGATATGTTGCCTCCTCACTGCCTTTTTTAACCCTGAAAAACCCACCCCACTACACAGCAACCATGTGCATGCAGTTGTGACACAGCCCCATTCACCTGAACGTGTTGCATTTGATGACAGTACTGCCTGCTGAAAGCAACGGGGAGTATAATTTTGCTGTGGCCATGAAGCAAAGCATTGAGGCTGCGGCATGTATACAACCCCATTTGACCACTTTTGCTCTGGCCATGAAGCAAAGCATCGTGGCTGCAGCATGTGTACAACCTCATCTGGCCATTAAGTTGTGTTAAGGGGGGCAATCGGGGGGGAGTTATTAAAAAAAAAAAAATGCAGCTCAGATGCATTTTTTCTACTTCATCCCCAGCTGCAAGAGCAGCTTTGATACTGAATTAAAAGAGAATTGAGGGATTAAAAAGAAAAAAAAATCAATCATACTCACCTAGGTGGATGCAGCATTGGTCACCTGCTGTCTCTAAGACTTGGAACTAAGCAATCAAAAACTGCTGATTGCTCAGTTCTCAGTCTTCGGCGAGCAGAGAGCCAATGACTCAGCCTTCTGCTCTATGGTCTTCCCCTCCAGCACTCACTGGAGTGCTGGGCTGTGGAGGGGGCAGGAGTGGCTGGCTCAGGATCTCAGCAGCCGTGTGTTGAGAGGTTGAGCCAGCTGCAGCTCAGGCATCTGGGTGGATCCTGACATTAAAGTCAGGATCCCTCCTGTGTCTGGATCAGCTGAATGACATCAGCCGACAGCGCATTTTAGCTCGCTGTTGGCTGAATATGGGTCAAAGGAGTACAGAATTAAAGTGCACTGTTGTGACTCACAGGAGAAGTAGTGCCACAAGAGCTTTGGCCATATTTCTCATTTAAACACTCAGTAGCTGGGAATCATGTGAATTAGGCAGTTGAAGGTGCAGCATCTCTTAGAATTCAGGTAGCCACTGAATTAACATGAATTGGGTATGTAAATCCATAGGAAAAATCGATTTTACTAAACTATATTTTTTAAGCCAAAAGACAAGGCAATGGTATGATCTGTGGCCACCTGGTGAATTATAGTATACAATATAATAGAAGGCTGCAGATGTTCTATAGATTTGAGTATGACAAACATATTAGAGAGATAAGAGGATCATGAGAAATTAATGCCTATTGTCATGAACAAATATGGCTGCCCTCGTGCACATATAGGTTTAAAACATAACTTATAACAACAATAAATGCATTTAGTTGATGCTTTTCTCATTTGTATGAATACACATTGAAAAGAATATACATCTTATACATAAAAAAAAAAAGAAATGTAAAGAACAGGCTAACATGCTGTTGTCATGGTAAAAGGCAAACAGTATAGTGACATAAGATAAGAGAATTACTTTAAACCGCTTCCTGAACACCCTTATATCAGATCTACTGCTCCAGGGCTGCACAAAATCATGTGTATATATACGTGATTTTGTGTTTCCTGGTAGGGGGCGTGCGTGTGCCCTACCCGTGCCACCATTGTCAGCTACAGCTGACGATAACCGGGTCCTGGCCGGAGACTGTCTGCCGGCACTCGACGATTGCCAAGCAACACTGACGGGGGAGAGGTCTGTATGTAAACAATACAGATCTCTCCCCTGTCCACTCCAGCATGCTACTTTGTATTACCCTGCATAGCAGAGCAATACAAAACAGCATACTTCCCTAGTGAAACAGAGCACACGGCACACAAAAAAACACACACACAGCACACAGTTAACCCTTTGATCTCCCCAGATGTTAACCCCTTTCTGCCCAGTCTCATTAGTACAGTGTCAGTGCGTTTTATTAGCACTGATCACTGTATTAGTGTCACTGGGGATGTCAGTGACAGTTCCTCGCCCTGTGTCAGAATGCCTGCCGCAGTCCCGCTATAAGTCACTGATTGCCGCCACTGCTAGTATAACATTTTTTTAAAAGAATTCCAGTATATATACTGGTATTTGCGGACGCTATAACTTTCATGTAAATCAATTAATTTACATGTATTGGGATATTTTTTAGCAAAGATAAATAGCAGAATACATTTTGGCCTAAATTTATGACTACATTTGATTTTTTAATTTTTTTTTTACTGGATATGTTTTATAGCAAAAAGAAAAAAATATTGGTTTTTTTTCCCCCACAATTGTCGGTCTTTTTTTGTTTATAGCGAAAAAAATAAAACATGCAGAGGTGATCAAATACCACTGAAAGAAAGCTCTATTTGTGGAAAAAAAGGACATACATTTCATTTGGGTGTAGCATTGCATGACCGCGCAATTGTCAGTTACAGTAATGCAGCACCGTATCGCAAAAAATGGCCTGATCAGGAAGGGGGGTAAATCCTCTGGAGGGCAAGTGGTTAAAGAAGAATTATCACTTTTTTTTTACGTTATTCTTTTCATGATGGGACAAAGTACTTTGTTCCATTTTTTTAGGTGCCCTGTAAGGATAGCTGTGATGTCAGACAGTGTGACCCCCATGGTGCACAGCACCCAGACACTGCAGCTAGCAAGGAGATGGCGTCTTTGATAGTGAGCGCCTGTCTCCAGCTCCTAGCATCTGCCCAAAGCAAACACAGACAAAAGGAATATAAAAGAGGTGAGGCATGATTTGAGAAAAGGTGAAGAACTATTTTCTGTCAGACAAATTTTTCCTACATTTAAGTTAACCACATGACATATTTATCACCAATGTACCATAGTTATTTCAAAATGGAAAAAAATGTGTTAAACGTGTGCATTAGCTGAATGTAATATATCAGTATGTAGTATACATCTCTGATTCTAGATTCAGAGGTGAAGCTGCATTTACAATATAAAACGGCACATTTTACTGGATTGATAGCCTTCAGCAGTATTCTTCTTAATGCATTGGCCTCTTTTTAATAAAGCTAAGTTAGCTTATCTCGGGTACACCTTAGCTTTTGTACAAACCTTCCAAACAATGAATTATCTGTTTCAAGAACTATAACCCTTTCTTAAATCTACTTTACATTTTTAACACAGTAAATACTTTTTAAACAGTTTTGTACAACAAGCAGAAGTAGCCACTGATTTTATTGTACCATCTTCCTCTCGTTCCCCAGTGCGTGAGCATATACACACTACATGTAACTGTGGTTGAAATTCAATGGCTTACACCACCGAGTACTATGGTTTTCAACTGACTCCCATAAGAATTTGATTTTTATTGTTTTCAATGTGATTTCAGGCAGTAAAAGCCAGTACAGAAGCTACAGAATTGCTTCAAAACATTCGCCAAGCAAAAGAGAGAGCGGAGAAAGAGTTGGAAAAGCTTAAGAACAGAGAAGATTCAAACGATGGCATCAAGAAGAAACTGTCTGAAGCTGAGGTGGGGTCATATTTTCCACATTTTCCTATAACTGTCTGCCCCTGTTTAACCACTTGGCATTTGCGCTATAGCCGAATGACGGCCACAGCGCGGTTATCCAGTTCTGGGAGGGCGTCAGATGACGTCCTCCCAGAATACGCCCTCCTGCACGCCACCACAGCTTATCAGGTGATGTGGTAAAAGGCCAATCACAGCGGCCTTTTACTACGTGATCAGCAGTGTCCAATTAAGCAGATCACCGGGTAAATACAGTTGCTGGTTATCGGCTGCACTTTTCTCACGCTGTCACAGCGTGAGGAAAGTGCTGCCGATAACCGGCAATTGTCAGAGAGCAAATCGGCACTGATTATCAGGGCACTGATGATCAGTGCCCAGCAGTGCCACCCACCAGTGCTGCCCATCGTTGCTGCATGTAAGTGCAGCATCATCAGTGCTGCCAATCCGTGCTGCCTATCCATGCCACCTGATCAGTGCCTATCAGTGCAGCCTCATCAATGCACATCAGTGAAGGAAGAAAATTACCTGTTTGCAAAATTTTATAATAGAAACAAAGAAAAACTTTTTTTTTTTTTTTTTCAAATTTTTTGCTCTATTTTTTGTTTATAGTGCAAAAAATAAAACACCCAGTGGCGATTAAATACCTCCAAAAGAAAGCTCTATTTGTGTGAAAAAAATTATAAACATTTCATATGGGCACAATATTGCATGACCACGCAATTGTCATTCAAAGTGCGACAGCGCTGAAAGCTGAAAATTGGCCTGGGCAGGAAGGAGGTATAAGTGCCCAGCAGGCAAGTGGTTAAAAAAAAAAAAAATCTTGTTCGTCCATGTGGTTTTAATGTTTATTCTGTCTCTGTGACTTTTTTACGTTGTATGTCAATAAACTGTAATTGTCATGTTGAATGGAATTGTTCTCTGAGATTTTCCACTTTCTAGCTGAGGTGGTATTTTTTTTTTCTTTATACAAGCTTACATTGTTACTTTAAAGCATATCCAATCCCAAAAATAAAAAGTTAATTATTGCAGTTTACCAGACCTTAGATGAGCCTTGGCCAAATGGGTGATGAAATCTTCTTTCTCTGGAGAGAAGCTTACTACTGTATTTGTAAGATACTTCTAGCATAAAATATATAAAACAGACTTAAAGTAAATAAACCCAAAGTCCAATAAAAGTCCAAAACCAAGAAGAATATACAAAATAAGTCCACAGTCTTGGTAAATAGATACACACTGATTCAGATGATCGATGATGAATCCCAAATACTCTTCATATACCTCAAAAAGAAAAAAACCTAGACATAGTGTATTATCTTAGGTCTCAAAAAGGTGCCACACGTGCAACATGCAAACACTACAGTGCCAAAGCAATCGTGAGAGATTCAAATAAACACAGTTTACACCACTGCAAACAATATAGTAAAAGTGCATAATTACCCTAGAATAAATGAAACCAACATATAATCCATAGTTAGGAATGGAGTTTCCTCAAAATGACATCATCTTCTCCAGACACTTCCCATAGACCTCACAAACAGACCAGTGATCAGCGTATGAATCAAATAACATACAAATTTTATTATAGCAACTTACATTAAAAAATGATAAAATCAGCTTCCAGGTCATGAGGCTGTATATACAGCCGTGATACTCAACGATGGCTCCAAAACGATGGTCATTCAGCTCTAGAGGGATGCCAGGTGGTAACTGGAAGTCCCAGGGATATGGACAACCATGTGTTCCAGAATCCAAAATGGCCGCCACAGCACTTCCGGGAACGTCAATGCGTCACTACGTCACATGCCCCGGACGCGTTTCGTCACATCCGGACTTTGTCAACAGGGAGCTAGCATGTTTCTAGCATGTTTCTTTAGCTACTAAATAGCCACAGCAGTGGGGACCTCTATTGCTCCCCTGGCACACCCCTCTTCTCTTTTTTTTTTATCTGGAGAAGTGTTTTTTAGGCCACCCTGTCTGAATGTCTGCGTAGGCGCTCTACACCGTTTTGAGATCTCAGACTTCAGGTTTCCACCAAGAGTGTCTCTAACTTCCTCTGGCTGTAGCTGTGCTCCTTGAAGGAGGAGAGAGAGGAGTGGTCTTGCTATTTGCTGACATTCCTCCAAGTATAGGGATACTGTTTTTATCCTTATTGTTGCAGTGCACATGTGCTGTGGTCTAGAGCAGCCTGCATCAGCCCATACTAAGATCACCAGTTTAGGTTTTGAAAATGCATTAGGCCAGTTGCACACAGACATAATTTTTACTTAGGATCTTATTGACAGAAAGATCCTGAGTAAAATGTTCTGTAAAAGGCCTTGTGAAACATGCGTATAGGCGCAAAAAGGTTCGTAAGCATATAGACGAGTAACATTTTTCATTGCCAGTGTTGTAATGTTCTCATTTATACTTGCATAAACTTGCTTATAGACGCGTAAACATGCGTATGCGCATAAATGACAGCACTCAAATGTAACATTTTCTGTTTTTTTTTTATATGGCTCTGTACTTATAGCTCTGTTGCTGATCTTTACTCAGCTGTGTGCATAGTTCCATAGACCACAATGCATCTAATTTCAAATACGTAAAAAACATGGTGTTTTTTACCCCCCTGACCAAGAGGCCTAATGCTTTGAAGACCTTCTCTGTCCATTCACTACTAGAGCTTGTTTTGTACAGTGACTGGTCTCAACCTGAAAAAATGTTTGTCCCTTCTTAGTTTTGTTTTGCATTGGACTACTGTAGTGATGGTATGGCTGATGTGCTTTGCCATAATTCTAGGCTGGACCTTCCTTTAATATACACATGAAAAAGATCTTTTGACTCTTGTGTTCGTCTGTGGACTTTTTAAGGAGTGGATTCCCTTTGATGGTGCATGCCATTTTGGTGAGGTTTTGGACACCTACATCAAGGAAAAGGTATTCTCTCGCCTCAGAAAAAGCAAAGCTGTTGCAGATAGGCCTTTTGCTCCTGAAAGTTTTTTCGTTTTCTCTCAGACCTCGGGTTCCAAACCTGGCATTTTGCTGTGTCTGTCCACAGCACCTTGAATCTTCACCAAAGTACTGGCACCTGCCCTAGCTCTGCTTCGCGATCAAGTATTTAACTGTAGTGGGATATCTGGAAAATTAAAAAGTATAACTTAAAAATGCTGTGCTATAGTATATATGTGACTCCCTAACATAAAAAATCAATAAAACATAAGCAGCCACCTTAATAGGCAACAATAAATTAAATAATAAAACATAAAAGTGCGGCGCTACATATAACCAAAAAATTAGTGTGAATGCATGGAGTAAATTAAAAGTCCAATACACATGCAAAGGAGATATAACGTAGAATAAGCCCCTTTAATGGGACATCAATGTTGTCATGAATGCTTCAAATCTGGACAAGAATATGAAGAAAATCCACTATCACCAACACCCAAAATATTCTGCCTCTTACCAGGTGAAATTGACCCCCGGTTAACCACTTGCCATCCACCTGCTGTTTATAAACGGCAGGACGGTGGCACTCCAGGGGTGGGTTGCCGTTCATAAACGGCACCCGCCATTTCTAGCTGTGCGCGCTCCCTGGGGAGCGCGCAGCACCGCGATCCGGTGCCCGCTGTGTCCTCTGGACACAGTGTAACACCGATCGTCGGACGGGACCTCTGTACGAGGTCCCTGATCATGTGATCACTGATTGGCCAATCGGTGATCACATGCAAAGTAGTAAGCAAGATGTCACTTCTGACATCATTGCTTACTACGTGTGAAATCTGTGAATAATCACAGAGGCCACATTGTACAAGGCTATTCACAACAGCCTTGTTCCATGTGACAAGCTGTGACCAATCACAGCTCACTCAGTATTTCTCAATGGCTGCAAGAATCCTATATGGGTGTAAAAGCAATCACTGTAAAAAAAATAAAATAATATCTTCATCACCCCCCACAAGGAGTACAGTGTCACCATGGTGACACTGTACTGCTAGGGTGACAGCATGTAAAAACCCCCCCCCAAAAAAACCCCATAAATAATAATATAAAAAAAAAAAATAAAAATGTTTAAAATTATAATTTTTGGCTATATAAACTAATTTGGCTTATTTTTTTTTTTTACTAAAAATATAACGGAATACATTTTGGCCAAGATTTATGATGAAAGATTATTTATTTGCAAAATTTTATAAGAAAAACACTTTTTCAGAATTTTTGGACTTTTTCATTTACATAGAAAAAAAATAAGAAATTCCAGTGGTGAAAAATACCACCAAAATAAAGCTTTATCTGTCTCAAAAAAATGGTAAAAAATTCATATGGGTACAGTATTGCATAACCGGGCAATTGTCATTCATAGTGTGATAGCGCTGAAAGCTGAAAATTGCCCTGGACAGGAAGAGGGTAAAAGTGTCCGGACAGGAAGTGGTTAAGGTTGGGTCAAAATGCGCAATACAAAATCCAAACGCATGCCATGGACCTGGACACTTTATGACATCAAAGGATCAAATTGGCCCCCAATGGTAGATGGATAAAACACCCGTTGGATAATTCCAAAAACTGGCTGTGATCTGGACACTGGTAGAGCTCCAAACATTGAACAAAGAAAATAAACCTGCAGAAAAGATTTATCCTCATAGAGGACAAACCCATTCAAAAAACAAAAAAATCCTCATAGTGTAGTCAATTCAGAAAGATTTATTGCATAATATAAAACATATATCAAAGTAATTGATAAAATAGCATGTCACCAAAAAAATGGATAAGTTTCAAACCCATAAAATGGCCACCACATTCCAGGACGTGCTAACGTCATGTGCTCTAACTCCTCCCTACGTGTCACGCCCCTGAAGATCTCACTGATGATGGAACTCGTAGGGAAGAGTTCGAGCGCGTGATGTATCTGGATTCTCCTATGTTTCTAACCTGCAAGGCAAGGCTTTCCCTGATGGTGGATTAACGATCCGGGAATAAAAAAAAAAATTCTCTTGATGACAGCCCATTTTACAGTGCCTATAAGGCAAAAGATGACTACAATGGATAATTTTTAGTTGTATTATCCTGTCTAGAAGAAATCACAGAACCCTTATAGGTAGTAGTAAACTCAGATCAGTCCTCATCAGTAAGATGTAGATCTAACGAGGACCAACAATTTTGGGCAGCAGCAAACTGAGGATTATAATCAGCCATCAGGGTGGAGTAATACTCTGGAATCAATTTGGCTGGATCAGGTCATTGCAGCTGTCTTCAAGAGGAGCATAGGATAGTGGAGTAACTGGTAAGGCCTAAGTAAATAGTAAGGAAAACTTAGAAAAATATAATAAAACCAATGTCACCGTAAAAACATAACGTTAGCCTACCTTAAAAGTGGACTGTGTCAGTCAGTCGGGGGCAGTAAGCGGTGTGGATGGTGCCAGTAGGACAGTGTGTGGACGTTGTCGGTAGTTTTTATTTTTTTCTTTACATTTTATTTATTTAACAATATTATCTTAGCCCCCCATAACAGTGTCCTCTGTTCCCCTCCCATAGCAGTGTTTTCTGCCACTATTGCAGCTTCAGAAGTGGTACAGGCGTTATCTATAGAGAAATATAGCCAATCATGAACAATAATCAATTGAGATGTCAAATAATAAAGATAGAAATTCTGGTACATCAGACCCACCAAATGGGCCGGTAGCTTCAGAACCTAAACTGTTATTCTAGAAGGACGGCAGTTCCATATGAACCCTGTGCAGATGGCATCAATTTGTTTAAATAGGGAATTTGGTATTTTACAGGGAGAGTTAGCCATGACATATAGCAATTTTGGTAGAAGGATCATCTTCAGCAGATTAACTCTACCATTCAGATCCAGTGGAAGGACCCATCCATTGTTTGGTTCAGTGCTGTAGTTGAGTGATTAAAGTGTTACTAAACCCAGGACCCTGCACTCAATATATCTGGTCTCCCACGGTACACAGAACATGGAAATGCAATTATTTTAATAAATATAAATAAACTGCTAAATACCTTTTCCCGTCAGCAGTTAGAGCAGTCTTGTGACTTCTATCAGTGTCCAGCTGAGCACTGGTTAAAGCTTGTAGGAGGAGTTTTCTAGGAGGATGCAGAACCGCTGACCTCTGTCTGGGCAGTGCCGATTGGCCCTGTGCTGATCACATGTGCACTCCCAAGAAAAGAAACCCCTCTCGCAATACACACCAAACTGAGCATGCATGTGCAGTGTCTCCACACGATATGTCTTATCAGGAGCTGCACTGGAAGAAGGGGAGGATCAAAGAAGACAGGATCAAACATCCTTTTTACACAATGCAGAGGATTAACCCGGTTCCACAGTGAGCATAACAAGCATGCTTTACTGCATATACAGACTGATTTTACTGTTGTGGGTTTAGAAACACTTTATAAGGGGCATAAATTGTGAACATCAGCTATCTAACTTTGCCCAGTTAGTGGAGTTTTTTTTCTTTCTTTAGAGGTTTAAAATGAGTTAAAGCATCATAGAGGTTGCCAAAGGTGACACCTCTCCCATTCTGTCCTCCAGTTTTGTAAAATTTCACTATATGAATAAACCTTTATTTTTGTCCAGCTTTCTTGTAAGCCCTCATTCCTTATTTAACACATTTCTATTCCTTTGTGCCTTTTGAGAGGAGTTTACCTATAGCCTAGTACATTCTGTATTACGACAGTTAAGGCAGGTTTTTTCTGGGATAGACCTGTGTCTGTGGCCTTTTCTCACTCCTTACTAGAGGGATATTCTTGTCCCCAGGATATAGGACGTTTATCATGCCTATAATGTATCTGCAGTGTTTGCCACCCACACAGTTGCAGTTAAGGATAATGTGAATCTGTATGATGCAGCTTCTGGAAGACCTGAACCTACACAGATATACAAGCATGACATTCATATATATAAGCTTAACACCATATGCTGCTGGTTATTTTTATACCTCTTCATTTCCTTTAGTAGTAATATCCATTTTCATGACGGTTATACATGTATCATCTGAGGCTATTTATACCTTCAGTGACTTTGTAGTGATTACTGCATATATATTGACTGCCTGTGAGTATGTGTTTAGAGCTCAGAATATTTTGTTGGCAAGTGTTCTTGCTATGTTCTCCTGTACAATTAAACATACCCCTTAGATTATATTTTCCATTAACATGAAAGAGGGATAACAATTGGTAGTTTTTATTTCATGTAGGAGAGGCGCCTTTCTTTGGAAAACCAAGTCAGGAAACTGGAGAATGTGGAACGACGAGAGAACAAGTTGAAGGAAGATATTCAAACTAAATCTCAGCAAATCCAGCAGATGGCTGAAAAAATAATGGTAAGTTTTTTACATTTTAAAAAAAGTGAATTACATCTTTTAAATAGATTTTTAATTCTTATACCATTTTCATAAGTGTTATTGTGAATAGCTGTTTCATATTACGTTCCTATTAAATTTGAAATATTTACTGTATGTAACAAGTATGTTCTTCTCCGTGTTTGCGTGGGCTTCTTCCGGATGATCTGGGTTTCCTCCCACAATCCTAATACATTCTGGTATGTTGATTGGCGTCTTCCTAAATTGGCCCTAGTGTATATGTGGTAGTGACATTAGATTGTGAGCTGACTGATGTGAACTGTTCTTTGCACTCTGTAGAGCACTGCTTATGTTGGAAGTACAAGTTATATTGGTAAAGGAAACCTTAAAGTGGTTCTTAATGTTTATTTTTTTCTTTAAAGTAACAATCATGTATGAGTACGTATGAGTACCTGCTCTGTGCAATGGTTTTGCACAGAGCAGCCCAAATACTCCTCTTCTCGGGTCCCCAGCCCACACTTGTGGCCCCTCCTCCTTGCTGAGTGCCCCCAGTACAAGCTGTTTGCTCTGGGGCACTCGTGGATGCTCGCTTCCGAGTCGCCTCTGTGTGACTGGGATACACAGAGCGCGGCTCAGTCCCGTCCTCTGCTCCCTCTTCACTGCTTGTGATTTAAAGCAGCAGGAGCAAATGTGTCTCAGTCAATTAGGAGTGGGAGACCCGGGAGAGCCAAGGCACAGTGCTGGATGAAGATTGGGCTATGGCAAGTATTGGGGGGAGCTGCACACTTAAGGTTTTTTACCTTGATGCATAAAATGCCCCAAGGTGAGAAACACTCACCCTTTATAACAGTGGTTCTCAACCTGTGGGTCGCGACCCCTTTGGGGGTCGAACGACCCTTTCACAGGGGTCCCCTAAGACCATCAGAAAACACATATTTCCGATGTGTAAAGAGCAGCTACTGTGTAGAAAGCAGCTGCTGTGTTGAAAGCAGCTACTGTGTTGAAAGCAGCAGTATTAGAGGTAAAACAACACTTCATGAATTATAATTACTGGGTAAATAATGTTATGGTTGGGGGTCACCACAACATGAGGAACTGTATTAAAGGGTCACGGCATTAGGAAGGTTGAGAACCACTGCTTTATAACCACTTTAACTCACTTAATTAAAAGTGTACATGCAATGCTGTAGTTTGGTTTACTATATTTAAAGAATGCTCATCTACTATATAATGGTTTTTCCTAATCGTGCATCCCAGGACTTTATATTCATGACTACTTGGGTTATGCTGCTGCCTTCAGGTGAAAAAACACTGGCCAAAAAAAGGAAGGAACCTCTCCCCAGGCATAACCCCTCCTAGCTCAGCTAAGCTCCAGTGTACCTACAGGAGTATCTCTGAAGGTTTTCCTTATAAGGGTTTAGTCCTGATTTCTGACCTGTTCCTAATACCCCTGAAGGCTTCATGCAGATTGGTTACTATAACCTAATGAAGGACTATAACCAGACCCGCGTGCGAGAGGTCATGGGGGGGTGTTGACCTGTATTGTCTGCCAGTAGACACTGGATCCTCCGGGCAGCGATCTCTGGGGTACAGTGTATCTGGTAACTTTGCTAGCAGGGTGTTATACAGGTTCAGGGCAGCGAGGAGTCAATCCCTGGAGGTTCTGCCATGATGAATAAAGATTAGGCCTGCTTGACCCTGCATACTATGAACTGGTGAATTCCTCTGATATTATTGGAGCATGTGGCAGTTCCCCTGGCAGTATCCTCTCTGTCATGGGTCAATTTGGGCAGTTTCTCCCACCTAAATCAATATGTGGCAGTGAAGGAAGACAAAATGGGTGGTGTGGGTGCATGCCACTGTGTTTGGTTGCCATTTTTATCCTGGGCGCAGTACGTATGCATTCTAAGTTCCTGGTCTTACATTGGTCGCACCACTCTGGAACTGAGTCCGTGCTCTGGAAGTGACTTCAGTGCCATTCAGCCTTCAGCCAACAGTTGCAGTTGCCACTAATTCAGTACCAGGACACAGCAAGTATTGAGCCACTTTTCTACTGGGGTGACTTGCGGCATAGGTCAACACTCCTCTCAGCTGGGTGTTCACCCCTCACTGGGGTTCATAGTTCTTTCTAATCCTCAGCAAGCCATGGCCTAGTGCAGGCAAGAGGTGGTGGTAGTAGGAAGATAGGTTGGGCTCCCAGATCCCTTTTAACAGATAGGGATCATCTACTGCAAGGTTTGTCTTGCAAAGGGTCAGATTAGCTCTAAATCTCTGCCCTTATCTAGTATTTCCCAAATACCCTCTTCAAGGACAGCAACCCGAGAGAAGATTGATCCCTCCTTCTACAGAAAACTCAACAGAAGAGTTAAAAACCTCTCCCCCTCCCCTTTGTCCCTCAGTTTGTGTTTTCTACTTTTCTTACTGTCCAGTAGCAGCATAATGTTTGTTTTATTCAGTCCAGATGACCATTAGGTCAGCGATATTCCCCTTCCTTTACAGATATCTTGTGGTCCTGGTTCCTGGACTTTGTGTGGCAGTCCTTTCCACTGTGCTCCTTCACAGCTTAGAAAATTGGCAGGCGGACTTTCTCAGTCCTCAACCAGGCATCCACTCGCCTGTTGTGTAGGTTAAAGTTGGAGAGCATTCTGTTTGCATCTGCTTGACTTGACAGAATGTGGTATGCAGACATTGTAAATCTCATGGCATAACAGTCATGTAAATATCATGGCAGAACAGCGATGGGATCTTCCAGTTTGGCCAGATTTGCTGTCGCTGTGTCCGATATACAATCCTGGTAGTCTCCAATATACAAATCCCGTCATGGCTGTTGAAACCCAAGTCCTGAGTGACGAACTCGGTGCCTGACCCCTGCACTTCTCACCAACTCATGACAAAGAACCAGCCGATCTCACACCGCGCTGTCACTTGCGTAACAATGCCACTCTCAATTGCACCCTGCATAAAGTTTTTCCAGCTCGTGGGACCACAAACCACGTGCCAGCAGCCTGGGAAGGCTTTGCCTGGGTGGGAATTTCTTCACTCCAACATCATGTTGTTTCCAGGACAGGAAGTCAGAGGAAATTCTAATATTTTTTTTTTATTTTTGTGGAATAAGAGGACTGAGCTTACTTTAAGAAATTCAAACACAGAGCAATTTATAAATCTGGTGTCTGTACTTAAATAATTAGTGTTGTCGCATGTTACCAAAAAGGCGAAGTACAACAACATAGGTAGGTAAATTAATCTCCACCAAAAAAAGTGTTTACTTCTAGAGACTAATGCTCCATGTACCAAAACAATATATATAAAAATAATTTTGAGTCATTTAAAATGATAATGAATAATTATATATAGACATACAGTAAAAAAATAAAGCACACATCCATCACCAATACCTAGACAACGTTGTCTTCCCACTTACTAAAATTAGGCCTCACAAGTGGTCACTGCATAAAATGGGTAAACCGGGATGAGAAATAATCCGCTAATCTGGGACCCCATCAAATATAAAAAACCTCACAGAAGAACAAGATAGTTGGCTCACTGACTATTAGATTGAGCAATCGTAAAGCTGCTCTCCAGCAGTAAAGGGACATGTAACATTTAGAAGGGAGAATAAAAAATAGTTCACAGACAGAGTTATGCTGTAGATGTAAACAATCGTCTGCATATGGCACTAAATCCAATTAGATACAATGTACCATATACTTCAGTTGTAAATGGGTGGAATGGTCAAACAACTTCAAAAGAATAAACACTTGTATAGATGGACACTATTCCACTTTTATATTCACTGTCAAATAGTGGTTGACATCAATTCATGCGCTGTTAGTAAATTAATGCAGGAAAAGCCAGGCAAGTGATCAAGATAGAGCAAATTGTTAATATGCAATCCCTCAGCAGTGAAGGAGTTAGTTCAATTGTATGAACAACAGTTCACATTCATTCAGAATAGAGGTATGGCTGTTGACATAAATATCAGTGCTGTTGATTAAGTAATGCAAGGTAGAGTCTGGTAAGCATGATAGGACACAGCAAGGATTAATATGCAGACCCTCCCCAATGAGAGGGTTAACATGATTGCATAAGCATCAGTTACACTTTATCAGAATAGTGCCCACTTGTAAGGTCTGATTTTAGTAAGTGGAAAGACAACATTGTCTTGGTATTGGTGATGGAGGTGTGCTTTATTTTTTTAACTGTATGTTTTTTTATGATTATTCATTGTCATTTTAAATGACTTTATAAAACGATTTATTTTTATATACAGTGCTCAGCATAAATGAGTATACCTCTTTTGAAAAAAGTAAAATTGTAATCAGTATCTCAATGAACACAAGAACAATTTCCAAAATGTTGACAAAACTGAGTTTTATAGAACATTTATTTAGCTCATTACATAAAATTAAGGTTAATAATATAACTTAGATTACAAAATCTTCAGTTTTATTCAAATTAGTTGATGCAAAAATGAATACACCCCAGAACAAAAACTACTACATCTAGTATTTTGCATCTATCTTTTTCCATTCTTCCAGAACGACCTCTTTTAGAGCCTGGATGCTGGATGGAGAGTGATGCTCACCTTGTCTCTTCAGAATTCCCCATAGGTGTTTGATTGCGTTCAGATCAGGAGACATAATTGGTCACTAAATCACTTTCACCCTGTTCTTCTACAGAAATGCAACAGTGGACTTAGATGTGTGTTTTGGATCATTGTCATGTTGGAAAAGTGCATGACGACCAAGAGCACGGAGTGATGGTGGCATTTTCTCTTTCAATATAGAGCAGTACATATGTGACTTCACAATACCATCAATGAAATGCAGCTCATCAGCAGTACTCATGCAACCCCACAGAAAGACATTGTCACCACCATGTTTCACTGTAGACATAGGTACATAGTTAGTCTGGCTGAAAAAAGACAAAAGTCCATCCAGTTCAACCATAAAAAAAAAAGTTATAATCCTTTACCCACAGTTGATCCAGAGGAAGGAAAAAAAACCCAGCAAAGCATGATC